CCCGGCCATGGCCTCCCCAGTCAGATGTCACTGCGGCTCCCCTCTCTCCTTCAGGCCATGTCCGTTATCCAGTAGGATCAGTTTTACTTGGAAGAATCTCAGGAGTCTGTCTCCTTCCCATCTGGACAAGCCCTAGCTGGACCCTCCTCAGCCACAGGGAGAGCATTAACACACACCCCTCGCCGTGTCCCCGCCGTGAATAAAGACCACCTCCTCCTCTCAGCCCACCCTTTGTGGACACCCCTCACCGGTCTCCTGAGTGCCCCGAACCGACCAGGGTCCAGCTCCCTTCTGGCTCGCTGCTCTCCCATGACCTCCTGCTCACTTTCCTGTCTGTCTCCGCTGAAATGCCGCTTCTTCCGGGAAGCCCTCTCCCACCCACAGGGGAGTTCAGCTCTCCCACAGCCCCGAACAGCTGGTACTTGTGTGGCCCCATGATCACCCTCCCAGCGGGGAGTGCCACGATCCTCCGTCCTGCTGGGCCAGCACAATGGTCTGGTTCTACGTGTCCCTGCCTGTGTGTACCAGGAGACAGAGAACACTGGCTGGCCGGGCAGTGAGGTGAGGAGACTCGAGTTCAGGCCCAACGGCCTGTCTAGCGAGTTCTCCGGGCTGGTCCCCACTCCCCATGTGTCCAATGGGGCGTGGGCAGTGCAGTGAAGACCCAGCTTGGCACAGGTCAGGTGTGGGGATGGATCGAGTGTGAGCACGACTCCCCTCTGCTTTCCCATCACCCTCCGGGGCAGCAAGCCTCTGGGATGGCTGGTGCCAGTGTCCTCTTGGCCCTCCCTCGCTCCCTTGCTGGGACTTGCCTAGGGTCCTTCCCCATTGGGTCAGGCTGGGCCTCCTCCCACTCCCTGGCTCCAGCCCTCCTTGAGCTGCAGGCATGAACAGGAGACCTGGGGGCGAGGGGCTGGCCTCCCAAGGGCTGGGTCCCTGAGCTCCAGCGGCCCAAGGGCCAGCAGGGAGGGGAAGGGTGGGTGGCTCCCCCACGCAAACACA